AATCAATACCTTCGCCGATAAGATAAGGCGTGAGATAATTGTTATCAAATCTGGCCATAAATGGCAAGAATGTGACGGAAGACGCGCAGTCCAAGAGAGCCAAACCAAAAGTGGCCACAAATAAGGGAACCGACCGCTCGCTCCCCCAAACCACAAACGTCTTGTCCCAACACGTGATCAACAGTAGACACGATGCCAGCCCTATGGCCATCAATATATGCGAGGCATTGGTTTCGTTCAGCCATTTGTATCGTTTACACACGAAGTACACGATTGGCCCCACATTTGCCAATTGGATCACAAAATTCATATCGGAGGCCAGAGCCCAGCTCTCAGGCAAGCGCTCGATGAGCACTGGCACCTCCAACCAGAGGCCAGTGATGGCGATCCACGAACCGGTTCCAAACAAGAGAGACAACAACTGAACCGAAAGTTTTGCCATTTCTTCGAAACTGATAAAAAGCTAAATAATTTTGAGAAATATGTTGAAAAAGTTAGCGATTAAATGACATTCAAAATTGCCTTCAAATTAATCCAAAGTCTCCGACAAAATACATATCAATTGAGACTTTGTTTACAAATTAATAAAAGCAAACTAAATTATTGCCAAATTAATTCTCACTGAAATTATGTGTTTATCTCTAAAAAGGTTTTAATTTCTAGAGATCTTATATGCAATTCAATATTTATTTAACTGAAATGTTTTCAAACTAAAAGAATTTATTTATATTCCTAAATATTGATGATATCATCGATAATAATAAAATACTATTAAACTATCGATACAAGAATTTGTATAAATTAAAATGTTATGAATGGAAATTAAAAGGATAAATATTTAAATATTAATGCTTTATTTGGATTTATTTTAACTGTATATTTTCAAAACTTGTAAAACAGGATTTGTTAAAATATAAAACAATTATATTATAAAATTGAGTTTTACTAAACTGCTAGTAATTCAAACCACTTGTGCGATACTCTCTTACAAAATAGCAATACTCATAATCAGTCATAGAGTAATTTCCCAATACTTTTAGACATTTGATCAAATATGGATTCTTATAGTAAGTATTGATTTTATGATTAACACTTTTTTAACATTCAATACAAACATAAGTTTTCGTTTAGTATTTTGTTTATTAAATTAAAATCTTTTTTATTTTGCATTTAAAGAGTATTTTATAAACTTATGAATTCACATTTTCCCAAAGTTTTCTAGTATTCACGTTTTTGGTTGAAATAAATGTGAAATTGCGGTAATATAGCAAACTTACTATAGCTGAAATAATTGAGTGAAAATAATTATTCTTTGATTTTATACCACGAATACAACAAATTAGTCACAAATGAGAATCAATGGCTGAACTTAATGACAGTTTAAGCACTTATTAAACTTCAATTAGCGTGAAACCTACAAATAATGCCAAATAGAGTTCTTACCTCCAGTTCCCATTCAGAATATAATTAACAGTATTCAAAAACGGCAAAACAGTNTATAATTAGCCAAAGCCTTGCATTAGTAGAAATTAATTGTGGTTTTATTCTGTTGTTAATCTAATACTAATTTATGATAATTTTATACGTGATTTAAAAGACAATTGTCTCTCATTTTATTCATAATAATTACAGCACTATAACGACCAGTATTGGCCTAAATTTGTTATTAAAATATTATTGTAATTTTTTTTACTGAAACACAGTTAATATTAGTCATAAAATATCACTATTTTTAACAAATGACAAATTATAATCACGTATATTTATAGAGTATGAGTTGTTTTACTTTTATTTTAATGGCTATTTTTTTATTGCATGTGAAACAGACATTGATTGCTAAATGTATAACTAATTTGTCGTTTTTTAATTTGTATTTTATATTTAAATATATGCTAAATGTAGTTTTAATATTGATTATTTCTTTGAATATACTATATTTAGTTAAATATTTAAAATGCCAATAATTTTGAAAAACTTTGACTTTTATATCCAAAATAAAAGCAGAATATTCTTGACTTAGAATTCTTGAAAAGGTGTTTATATAGACATCTATAGTTTGAAAATCTCACTGAAATTACAATCTCTTCCTATAGAATATGAATACAATATCCAGAATAAGTTTAAACATACATTTTGTGTTTAAAATCATATTTAGACTAATTTTAAAAAGGAGTGAAATTTGAAATTATATTTTAAACTTTATAACATTTTTTAAACATATTTTTTATTTACTAGTTTATGTGATTTAATGAAATATTAATTGAGCAATTATTGTTCTTGATGAAGTCAATTGTTGTTGCATTCATACGACTGGAAAGCATTGGTGTAATTAATAATAACAAACATAAGGGTCGCACCGGAAAGGGAACCCAATTGTGTGTGAAATCCAACCCAAAATAGGCCTTTATCTCCATTATAATCGCTAATTATTAATGTTATGATAGTCTTAACGTAAGACAATATAGTCGTGAATGCAATCCATGAGAATATAATTAGAGCTGAACCGGCAGTCGATGAGCTACCGGTGCTCAGCGGTGGGTATGGGCTCATAGCTGAGCATATAATTATATAGATTGCTATTAAATGAGCGAAAAATGTTAAACAATTGATAAATTGAATGGATTTTTGTTTGTTATAAACCATCGCCAGAAAGCAACCGAACGGATAGGAAAGGCCGGACAGTATGACAATGTAGTGGAGAGTGGAGTTCCCATAGGGCAGCGCTGAATAGGGCTGTAGTATGAAAATAATTAGAAACGACACTATTTTTATTGCTTTTTATTTGTGTGGCTCTCACTTGAATCGATGGCATGAAACCAAATGTTGATAAACAGCACAACAATATGAGACATAAGAAGTAATTGTATTTATGTTTCCCTATATTCTGGAGAAATTCACAAAATTCAATATTAGGATAGCTTTCATCTCTCGCCAGACTCTCTCTCTCTCTTTCTCTCTCTCTCTCTCTCTCTCAATACTAATACAAAATATAAATACCTTTTTTGTGGGAATCTTGTAATTATTTTGCGAATCGATAGATAAGACATTTTCTGGTGACTTGTCGTGAAGTTTGCGAATGCTTTCACGATCTGTTGGGCGCTCTTTTGCCTCCATAGGTCTGACCTCTTGCTTACAGACGGGCAGTATTTGCAGCAAAATCAATGCCAACCAACTGATCATTAATGTGAATAATAATGAGACGAAGAAATATTGTGCCGAAAATGTGAGTTGCGATAAGTGTTTGGCGTCGGAAGCGCTCGCATTGACAGACATCTCATTATAGGCTTCACACGACTCGCTCTGTTGGACGCCTTGGAGTAAAGCAAAGATCGTCGGAAGAAAACCACTCAAACCTAACAAACATTTCGTATAAATCAATACAGATTTGCAAAACACTAATTAACTCATTATTAATTACAACACATGTTCTCTCTATTTGTTTGCTTGTATTTTGAACAGAATATTCTTTACATTAACTAATGAACACATGTCTTATTGGAAAACGATTTGAAAACTACTGTTCCTAATAATTGCGATTTTTTCTCAATTATTTTACTTTAAAATGTCAATTATTTTGTTCAATAGATTACTCTATTTGTATCCTGGTATTAGAGAATTTGCGAAACAAATTAATGAAATAAAGCATAAAATGTATATAAATCTCAATTATAGGCAATAAATCAGATTTAAGTTAAATGTTTACAAATAGCTGTCAATCAATACCTTCGCCGATAAGATAAGGCGTGAGATAATTGTTATCAAATCTGGCCATAAATGGCAAGAATGTGACGGAAGACGCGCAGTCCAAGAGAGCCAAACCAAAAGTGGCCACAAATAAGGGCACCGACCGCTCGCTCCCCGCCACCACAAACGTCTTGTCCCAACACGTGATCAACAGTAGACACGATGCCAGCCCTATGGCCATCAATATATGCGAGGCATTGGTTTCGTTCAGCCATTTGTATCGTTTGCACACGAAGTACACGATTGGCCCCACATTTGCCAATTGGATCACAAAATTCATATCAGAGGCCAGCGCCCAGCTCTCAGGCAAGCGCTCGATGAGCACCGGCACCTCCAACCAGAGGCCAGTTATGGCGATCCACGAACCGGTTCCAAACAAGAGAGACAACAACTGAACCGAAAGTTTTGCCATTTCTTCGAAACTGATAAAAAGCTAAATAATTTTGAGAAATGTGTTGAAAAAGTTTGCGATTAAATGACATTCAAAATTGCCTTCAAATTAATCCAAAGTCTCCGTCAAAATACATATCAATTGAGACTTTGTTTACAAATTAATAAAAGCAAACTAAATTATTGCCAAATTAATTCGCACTGAAATTAAGTGTTTTACTCTAAAAAGGTTTTAATTTGAGATCTTATATGCAATTCAATATTTATTTAACTGAAATGTTTTCAAACTAAAAGAATTTATTTATATTCCTAAATATTGATGATATCATCGATAATAATAAAATACTATTAAACTATCGATACAAGAATTTGTATAAATTAAAATGTTATGAATTGAAATAAAAAAGGATAAATATTTAAATATTAATGCTTTATTTGGATTTATTTTAACTGAATATCAATTTTCAAAACTTGTAAAACAGGATTTGTTAAAATATAAAACAATTATATTATAAAATTGAGTTTTACTAAACTGCTAGTAATTCAAACCACTTATGCGATACTCTCTTACAAAATAGCAATACTCATAATCAGTCATAAAGTAATTTCCCAATACTTTTCTCACTGAATAAGACATTTGATCAAATATGGATTCTTATAGTAAGTATTGATTTTATGATTAACACTTTTTGAACATTCAATACAAACATAAGTTTTCGTTTAGTATTTTGTTTATTAAATTAAAATTTTTTTTATTTTGCATTTAAAGAGTATTTTATAAACTTATTAATTCACATTTTCCCATAGTTTGCTAGTTTTCACTTTTTTTGGTTGAAATAAATGTTAAATTCCGGTAATATAGCAAACTTACTATAGCATGAAATAATTGAGTGAAAATAATTATTCTATGATTTTATACCACGAATACAACAAATTAGTCACAAATGAGAATCAATGGCTGAAGTTAATGACAGTTTAAGCACTTATTAAACTTCAATTAGCGTGAAACCTACAAATAATGCCAAATAGAGTTCTTACCTCCAGTTCCCATTCAGAATATAATTAACAGTATTCAAAAACGGCAAAACAGTTTTGGTTTAAATTTTAAACTTTAAAATATTGACCAAAATTTGTTGATCGCATGTATCAAAGAATAAAACAATGGTCTGAATAGAAATCAATGGTATGTTTGGAGAAAAAAGTTTGTTTTCAATAATCATTAGGTTTTTGTGAACAAATTTTTTATTTATTTTTACTTTAAGAGCAGAAAAGGTTTTTGTTTTATAAATAACAGATGTAATCAAATGTAAAATTAAGTCATTATGTTGTCGGTTTGAAAATTGTATTTTCACGATTATATAAACTCTGCCTGCTCAGTCGCTTTACGGGCAAAACAACGTCGCAATGGTAACTAAACTCTGAACGTAAAAGACCAAGAAGTTTATGGCAAAACAAAAAACTTGTATTTATTTTGTTTTTTCACTTAAAACTAAATCAAAAGTAAAACTTAACATTGAATTTATGGCTCGTAATTAAATAATAAACAAAATTAGACAAAATTAAAATACAATAAAAACATGAAATCAAATAAAAGGCTTTGAAATAAAATTATAAATTCAATAAAATAATAAAAATACAAACAAACAAAATATATATAATTTGTCGGTTTTTAAGTCCTTAATCGAGATTTTTCGTGTATTTGTAATAATGATAATAAATTCAATTTAAATAAACTAATAATTAAATAATTATAATGTAATACAAGAGTTGAGTTCATTTCAATCCATAGTTTGAAAGAAGTGTCGAATAATAATAATAATATTCAATGTATTCGCGAATAAATAATTCAATAAAACAGTTGAGAAACCAATTATGAGGTTATTATTAATTAGTTGTAAATTAATATAACGTGAATTTTTTAGAAGTAAAACAAACGTGTGTTAAATTTGTGTTTTGTGTTTATATAAAAAGTAATATTATTAAGACAATTATCTGATAATTAAGTTAAGCGCTAATTAAGGCCTAAACAAATCAATAATGAATTACTCCTTTAATTGTGTCACAAATATTCAGTTGAGGTGTCCGTTAATCCCATGGCTTTTCAGCGACTAATTAATCCAATTCTTGCTCACAATTCGTCTCATCATTACATTTGTGTTGATTTCCTGTGTTTCACAGAATATTCTCGAGTGATATGAAAATGTAATGCAATCTCATTACAAAAATTCCGTTTTGTAATCAATTATTAAACGATTCAATTGGTGTGGAAGTCAACGGAATATTTGGTGAATATTCTCTTCAATTAAAAGATATTTCATCAGAAATGGTGTTAATTCTTGGTTTATAACAATTGCTAAATATATATATAAAGTAGATATATATATATATCTCTCATGTCATTGCAGACATTTTAATCACTTCTTTCATTAAATATTTAGTCCTTTTGTTTGGAAATACAAATCAAAATTCGCTTTTGTTATAAATTTTAAATTAACGTGAATTTCGGTCGAAAATCATTAATATAAA